TGTGTGTGTGTGTGTGTGTGTGTGTGTGTGTGTGTGTGTGTGTGTGTGTGTGTGTGTTTGTGTTTGTGTGTGCGTGTGTGTTTGTGTTTGGTGGGGGGGTATACAAAGGACATATGTAGAGAGTAATTCTCAGTATTGCCACCAAACCTCTCGTGATAAATGTATGTTATCACAAGGAGTAGGCATATCCCCCGTGTCCAGTTAGGAGCTAATAAATATGACCGAGCTGAGTCAAGGGAGAAGAAGAAGGAAGAAGGTCTCCCGTGCTCTTGCCCGAGCGTAGGGTACTGCCCATCCCCATTTCGTAGCGACACACAATTGTGCAATGCATTACAGCAGGGGCTGGTCTGCTAGTAGTGCTGTGTGTGTGTGGTCCGCTAGTAGTGTTGTGTGTTTGACCTTCCCACACTCTTTCTCATATGTGCTGAGTGCTAAGCAGAGAAAGAAATATGTACCATTTTTTAAGTTTTTGGTATGACCCGGGGTTTGAACTCATGACCTCCCGGTAACGGTTACAAAGCGAGCACTCTACCAATTGAGCTATTGCACCGGTTGAGTCAAGGGCTCATGAAATAATCAAAAGTAACGAACCAACGCACGCAGACAATCAAAGCAGCGCCATGTCGTCGGCCGGTGGTAAACAAACACGTCACATGCCGTCATGATCTCATGAATATGTTGACTGAAGGTGTAAGCTTCGGCCAAAAAATCGTGACTTTGTAAAACCACTGTCTCGATGGAATGAGATGCAAGGCTGACATGCATCGGGTTGAGAAAAACTAAAAGGTAAATTTCGTCGTATGTCTTTAGCACAATGCAATGGAATCACACGCAGAGCTAGGCTTACCAGGGATGTGTCTGCCGGTGCAATTTTGCCATCGCTATAGATCTATATTTACTGTCAGTACATGATGTTGCACTCAAATAAACATGTACATTCTACGCGTAGCCTTCACCTTTCGTTATATTATAGTTTGAAGTTGTTAGATTTTCAGAAGAAATGTATGCCGGTAGACAAAGATTAAGCGGCGCTTCTGTTTCACGTAGGAAAAAAACATTGCCAAAAGTCACGTGTGTCTTATGTGTTATTGTGCAGTAGTAGTAGTGTATTGAATACAACCTGAGCCTAAAATACAAGAAGTTTGTAGATTATAAGGTTCTTGTATATCACCTGTTCAGGTAAATATCTTCGTGTGGTTGTGTTATGAAAGCTCTATTCTCCTATAATTCACTAACCAGGTGAAGCTACTCGTTGTAGCTTAAATATCATAATGAAAAAAAAAGACGCCGTCGTAAGGTTAGGGGGTTTTGACAATGATTGTTTGGTAAATTTGATGCAATTTATACATTGCTGATTGTATGGTTTCATACATGGCGTCTGACTACTGCTAGAATTTTGAGAGAATGGTGGATTTTTATTCCTCGTGGTAATGGTAAAGCCCTTGCATTGAAGTATAGTGAAGTGTTGAATCGATATTCATAGAGCTCACTTCATTTCTCGCAGGGATTTCAACCCACAAAGCTCACCACATCAAGCAAGCTGATCGAGAACTTTCTGGCCTGAGGGAACGGCAGCTGCCACCTGACATTCTTCCTGAGTCACTGTACCCACTCACCGAACTAGTCCCTAGAGCTAAACGCTAACCTGCTCGCTGGGAGGACGAGGTAGACATAAGAGTAGACATCCTTACATCTCGAAGATGATATCGATAGTGGCACTACCTAGGTCTGTTGTTGTGGCCGTGTGCAGCGTCTAGTCAGCCAAATCTTTGCATGGCATTCCCAGTCACAGTTGGGACACGAGTAGACATAACGTAACAATTTGCATACACTTGGACGAGGTAGATATAAAATTACAATGCTTAAAACGCGTGGTTTGGCCTGAGGCTTATCTTGTCAAGTAATCTCAGTGCAAAAATACATAGGCAACTGCTTGTGGCTGATGACAATACAGCCGACATGTTCCTTGCATTTATTACCTTATTGGTAATGTTGCTACCATACGCAGCAGACGTACATGCATCCCGTACCTGTTGGCATGACG